CCGCCGGAAACTAACACATCAGCGCCACCTGTTCAGAATTTTTTTATATGGCCTAACTGACCTGGACTTGGGACCCTGTTTTTGGTTCCCTCTCAAACACTCCTTATTTTAAAACATACTGCACACTTCATACGACTATACTCTGACTACTTCAACATTTCTCATATTCTTGTTCCAATGTCTTGTTAGAACCTTTAACATTAGAAATTCTTTTCTTTGATATCAAAGTAATACTACATACGAAGTATAAAATCTTAAACTTTTTCAAGCAAAATTCGAAACCTGCAAAAATAAAAAGTTTAGAGTTCTTACTCTGTTTCTGGAGCACAAATGGAACCTCCTTCCTGGGTTGTCATATATCAGTCCATGAAGTTAAAACACCGGCCTTCTTACAACAATGATATTCCATAGATCGTTATTGTCTGAGCCATTAATTGCACTTTAGAGGAACACACACTCATCTTCCTTCAATATGTGGAGAGGCCAGACCAAGAGTTACGAAGCCTCCGTTCTTCTCTTAGGTTCTGTGCTTTTATTATTGTTCTAATGGGGGGTTTGGGAGAGCACAATGAAGTGTTTGGACATAAGTCTTAAAAAGGGGCCCACATCGAGGTCAACTGCAAAAGTTAGGAAAAGATTACAACAACGGGAGATGACATGTAACTTTCCGGCAAATACTCCGTATAACTTTCTAACGCTAATGTCCTCAAATTGAACAAATATATTAGTTGGAGGGTGTATTTTGCAAGTATGTAAAGTTAGGGGTGGGAAAAAACGAACCGAAACCCGGAAACCGACCCTGGACCGACCCGAATTATGATCCCGGTCCGGGTTTTGTCTTTTTAACCGGCCCGAATTAAAAAACCCGGACCGAACCGAAAATTCCGGGCTCATTAACGGGCCTTAAAATCTATAACCCGGCCCAGACCAAAAAACCCCGAAACAATTAGTTTTAATATAAAATTAATATACTATATGAATATAAATAAAATATTTCCTAATATATGATTATAATCACGGAGGATAAAAAAAGATTTAGTAACTTTTAGTGACTACAAATATGTTGAATTTGTTTAGCGTAATGATGACCATGAGAATTTATTTATAGCAACTCTAGTAACTTTTTGTTTTATAAAATTTATTTCGTAATATTTTTAAGAAACTTATATTATTTATATATATACATCTTACTTAAAATACTAAGATAATTAGGGTCTGTTTACTAACAGAGATATTTTCCAGTTTTCCAGAAAACTGGAAAACTGGAAAACAGAAAACAGGATATGTGTTTACCAAAGAAATTCCTGGAAAACTGGAGAAAGGAAAAAAGAAAAACGCGTTTACCAAATCGTTTTCCAAAACGGAAAAAATGAGACATGTCTCTCTTTTCCTTAATGATTTGGAGAAGTGACCTTTACTAGTTTTCCAAATTTGGAAAACGCAGATGCTATAGTGCCGTTGCAATGAATTTGCATACGTACACCTAGTGGTGGGTCCAGTCTCGCTCCGATGTCGATTCCATTCCGGTACCTCCATCCTCGTACCTTACCCCTACCATACCCTACCTTACCCACCCAACCCAACCCCGCATACTCATTTTTCCCTATAATGACCCCACCCCACCCCCTACCACATGCCCCTACCTCGGCCCCACCCCTATCCACCCTACCGCCACCCCCCTACCACCTCGACCCCACCCCGACCCACCCTACCCTACCCCCACCCGTATATTACCCCTTACCACATGCGCCTACCTCCGCCCCACCCCACCGCCATCCTACCCCCACCCTCGTACCGCCATCCTACCAGCACCCTTCCGCCTAGGGGTGGACTCGGGCCGGGTGGCCCGACCCGGAACCGGCCCGGGACTGTTCCGGGCACCCCCATTCCTGAATCGGAGGCCCGACCCGGGCCCGAACTAGCTCGAGTCCACCCATACTTCCGCCATCCTACCACCATCCTACCCCCACCCTACCCTTCCCCTGCCTCGGCCCCACCCAGATCCCGGGCCCACCCTACCGCCATCCTATCCCACTACCCCTACCTTACCCCCACCCTCGTACCGCCATCCTACCAGCTCCCTTCCGCCTAGGGGTGGACTCGGGCCGGGTGGCCCGACCCGGAACCGGCCCGGGACTGTTCCGGCCCCCCCATTCCTGAACCGGAGGCCCGACCCGGGCCCGAACTGGCTCGAGTCCACCCATACTTCCGCCATCCTACCACCATCCTACCCCCACCCTACCCTTCCCCTACCTCGGCCCCACCCAGATCCCGGGCCCACCCTACCGCCATCCTATCCCACTACCCCTACCTTACCCCAACCCTACCCACTACCCCCACCCTTACCGCCATCCTACCCCCACCCCTTCCCTACCTCGGCCCCACCCCAGTCCCGGCCCCACCCCACCGCCATCCTATCCCAACTCCATACCCTACCTCTACCTTACCCCAAACCCTACCCACTACCACACCCTTACCCCTAACCACGACCCTAACCCACCCAACCCCCAACCCCTAGACCTTACCACCCCCCACCCCCCGCCATACCCCTTACCCCACCCCCACCCATAACTTCCCTACCCCGACCGCTACGAGTAGGTATGGGTGGGTATGAAGGGTTGTGGGGGAGTATGGGTAGAGTGCAAGATCGTGGTAAGGGTAGGGGTCAAGGGTGTGGAATTGGAGATCTAGGTAAAAAAATTGATGAACATGTTTTCAGATTTGAAAATGGAAAACTAAAAACTAGAAACAGAAAATTGGAGATAGAAAAACTGAAAAATAAAAACAGAAAATTGGAGAACGAAAAACAGAAGTAGAAAACAGGAAAATATCTCTGTTAGTAAATAGGCCCTATCTTCTTTAAATTTGAATTGTTGGTAATTTTGGAGACTAATATTACCTCGCGGTAGGGGTTCTTTTCACCCTTCCCTCACGGTACTACTTCGCTATTGGTCACCCAGGAGTATTTCAGTTCGTATACCATACGACCGGCCCACTATGAGCATAGTACACCCGCCACCAACACGACGTAGTTCTAGCAGTTGGCCTCATTATTTTTTATTTATCTCTTTTTTTAAAATGGTAATAATTTTTTGATTTTTGATCCGATTTTTATAAAATTTATATCAACATTTTTTATTTTTTATGATCTTTCAAATGAGACCAATATTGTCTATGTAATTTTAACATATTAACATTTGCGTGTACAAATATGTAACTTTACGTGTTAAAATATGTAACTCATGTTCAGTCAGGCCAAATGCAACTCGTGTGTAAAAATATGTAACTCTACGTGTATAAATATGTAACTTTACGTGTAAATATATGTAACTCGCGTTCAGGCAGGTCAAATGCAACTCGTGTGTATATATATGTAACTTGCTTATAAAAAGATGTAACTCGCTCATAAAAAGATGTAACTCAATTATCAAATGTAACTGAGGCCACTGATCCACTCCCAAACAGATTCGATCTTCTATTCACAAACTTATCATCTCCCTGCAATTCATATGCAACTCATGTGTATATATGTGTAACTTGCATGTAGAAATATGTAACTTTACGTGTAAAAATATGTAACTTCACGTATAAAAATATGTAACTCACATGTATAAATACATAATACAATAAATTTTTTATATACACAATTTTAAGATAAATTGTGATTTACACAATTATTTTTCTATATTAAATTTAGTTCGATTTTCTTTATAATCCAATACTCATTAATATAATAGTTCGATAATTTCTTAAAATTTCATAAGCAATATTGGTCTCATTTGAAAGATCATGAAAAATAAAAAATATTGATATAAATTTTATAAAAATCGGAGCAAAAATAAAAAAGTTATTATCATTTTTTAACAACAAAAGCAATAAAAAAGAAAAAAAGAAACCAGGCACTCCGTCGTTTTGAATGAAGCGTGCGTCGTTTTGCAACCGGGCGCACCATCCTCATGGTGCGCCGGTTGCACGGTATAAATTGCGGGAGTATTTAGCCTTGCAAGGTGGTCCTTGCTGATTCACACGGGATTCCACGTGCCCCATGCTACTCGGGTTAGAGCATGAGCTAGTGATGCTTTCGGCTACTGGACTTTCACCATCTAGGGTGCAGGATTCAGGCTGCTTCACCTAGCAGCACGACGCTTTTAGTGCTCCCCCACAACTCCGTTTTCACGGTTTAGGCTGCTCCCATTTCGCTCGCCGCTACTATGGGAATCGCTTTTGCTTTATTTTCCTCTGGCTACTAAGATGTTTCAGTTCACCAGGTTGTCTCTTTCCTGCCCATGGATTCAGCAGCAGTTCGAAAGGTTGCCCTATTCGGGAATCTCCGGATCTATGCTTTTTTTCAACTCCCCGAAGCATTTCGTCGATTACTACGCCCTTCCTCGTCTCTGGGTGCCTAGGCATCCACCGTAAGCCTTTCCTCGTTTGAACCTCGCCCTTCACTTTGAAGGCTTTGCCATCTTCAGGTGCTGCTAAATCGATGGATCTTATCAACGTCCATGAATTATAAATCCTATATTCATAGGAATCATAAGGTCCTATCATAAAACTTTCGATAGGCTAAATTAAGGAGTTGTGGAGATAAGCAGACTCGAACCGCTGACATCCGCCGCAGGGTAAATCACCGCCTCTAAGGTCCCCGACTTAACAGGCCATATTTGCGGTTTGTATTTTTGATTAATTTTATTTGAAAGTAAGTGTTAAAATATAAAAGAACAATGACATATTTAATGTTCGGGCTTTAACCGGTCCAACCCGAACCCGGACCGAACCCGGGCTACCAAAAACCCGACTCGGACCGAATATAATGGGCTTTGTTCCGGTCCCTAATTTTCATAATCCGAGACCTTCCGAGTAATTTCCGGGTTTAGCAAAAACCCGACCCAGACTGGACCGATCCCACCCCTAGTCCCCTATGTAAAGTTAGAGGATTGATTTAACAAATTTTCCTAAAAAAATTAGCCTACCCTACCGTACCCGTGCCCATTCCTACAGTCTACTTCTGACCTAGGGCATTCTTCTCCCTTCAGAGCTTCTCTTCTCCGACCATCTGGGCGACGCTTGGCTTTTCCGAGCCTCTCCAACCATCTCCTCTGTGCGACGCTTGGCTTCTCGAGCTAGAGATTCTCCAGCTAGAGCTTCTCCAACCATCATCTCTGGGCGAGGCAACCCTTTAGGCCGGCGCTTGGCTTCTCCAGCGAGAGCTTCTCCAACCATCGTCTCTTGGGAGACGCTCCTCTTCTACAGCCCACAAAAACTACCGTCTTCAACTCCATGGTATACACCGAACTTGTGAGTTTTTTGATTTGCTCTTTTATTATGTGATTAATATTCCAATTATTGTGTCTGGTCTTCGATTTTTTGCAAATATTTCTTTGGGTTACTCATAAGCTTGCTTGTGATTTTCACCATTATTTACTTTCATCTTCTATATATATATATCACTAGTTTTGTGTGATATTGATGAATTCACATTCACATACTGTAATGGGAAAGGTTATCCCATTTTATATCCACTTTGATGAGTTGAGATTGCTGTGAAGTATAATTTTGATAATAGTATGTTACATTGATGAATTGTCGTTTATGTTAATGTGCTCAAATATTCGAACTTTAATCAAATATGGATCTGATTTACCAAAAATCTCAATAGTTAGTTCTACATAATTTTAAAATTAAAATAGTAATTTAATCATATTTTTACATATATTTAACAATTTAAAAATATTTAATTTTTACTAATTATATTTAATGTTTTAATATTTAAAGAAAAATTAAAAATTGTCAAGTCATACTCCCTCCATCCCATTAGAAGGTTCCCACTTTCTTTTTTTGGACGTCCCATATAAAGGTTCCCATTTCCATTTTAGAAAACAATTAACAATATTAAGTGACATATTAATCATTAAATATTAAAAATAATAAATTTATAACATCACAGTTATCAATACTAACTACATTATAATGTATACCTATTAAAATTATTTCTCAAAATATACTCGAAGTACTTTATTTAATTATTGTCTTAATAACCGAGTCGTTTTGCTATGGAAACCTTCCAACGGGACGGAGGTAGCAATTATTTTTATTTGGACAATGTAATTATATTTTAAAGTCATATAAATGTATATTATTGGATGCCAAAAGCAATAGTGTGTTTCTAATATAGGATTATTAGGATATGTCTTTTTGGTGAGCTTACACCAAAACCAGTTTGCAGAAACAGCTTATCCAACCACTCTAAATTGATTCTCTATTACATACAATAGAATCATTACCAAAACACATTAGACCGAATCACTTTTTCATATAGCAGAAAATTCTGATTCTGCTTCTCCTTTAAAAATAGAAGCAGAAGCAGAATCAGTTCCAAACACCCTTTAAATAGACGGTATGAGTCGCATTCCTGTGAAACTGCAACCCGGGGTTTCTATTTCGCCGCTATATCTGCCCCAGTTCCTCACTGTCTTCCAATTTCACCCCGTAAGCGTTCTATCCCGCTTTCCTCCATATTGGTCTCTTTCATGTGATTCTTTCCTCTGCCTTTGAACCTTTTCCGGTTTTTCATTGTTGTTAGTGAAAAGCTGAGAGCTTTCTCGAATCCAGAGCCAGTTTTATTACTTTACTTGTCTTTTAATCATTTGGCTTGGGTTTTTGGAAGCTAGGCCGGCACTTTCAGGTCAACATCTAGTGTATCTCTTGCTTTGGGAAAATTAACCTTAAAGCCGACTTCAGCAATGACAGATGTAAGTTCAGAAAAGCCATCGTGGAATCCTTGTAAAAAATTATTACCTCATATTAGACTAACAGCAATGTGTCCTGACTGACTTTGAGGATTTATTAATATGATGATGAACACAGTGGTTGTGGTTGTTGTTGTTATTCTTATTATTATTTTGAAGGCACCTGGTAGTGTTAAAGAACAGTTAGCTAGATTATTTGAAGTATCGCTTAGAGCAACATTTCCAGATGAATCAGATGTACAGCCTCTGATTGCTATTTGCAACAATTCCAGATTTGGAGACTATCAATGGTATGGTTTACAACCCTATTTCATTTTAAGTATCTTGTATTTAATCACTCTATTTTCTCATATTGAAAACACAATGACACTACCCACATTTAACGTTATGCCCCAGCTGCTAGTTGAACTCTGAGCTCTTTTAGTGCTCGGAGTGCTTTGTGCTATTTATTTTCTACAGTTGCTAATTAAGCATGTTCAACTTTGGGTAGTAACAATGCCATGGGCTTATGGGCTAAAATTAGAAGCACAGATACTAACTTCAAAGGTCCTCAACCTGTTGGACAGGTAATTACTCCGATACCTGTTTGGTTGGTTGATTGCCTTTCCCCTACACAGTGGGCATAACTTCCTTTAACGACCAAACGGTTTATCATTTGCAGGCCATTATGCGCAATCTTCCCCAATCTGATATAATTGAAAAGTGCAGCATTGCTGGGCCTGGTTTTGTCAATATAGTATTATCCAGACAATGGATTGCTCAGGTTGTTACTATTTTAGGTTGAGTTGTTGATTCCCTGGGAATATTACAATCATATCATTACATCATCATAACTTCTACTGCAGAGTATCCAAAAGATGCTCATAGATGGCATTGAGACATGGGCTCCAAAGCTTCCTGTCAAAAAGATAATTGTTGACTTCTCATCACCAAACATAGCTAAGGAGATGCATGTTGGCCATCTAAGATCTACGATAATTGGAGACACCTTGGCTCGTATGCTCGAGTACTCTAATGTTGAAGTTCTTAGAAGAAATCATGTTGGTGACTGGGGTACACAGGTATATTTGTGTTTCATCTTATTCATGGATGCATTTCTTGGAGTCTTTCGCCTTTCTAGCTTATGTTTGTTGCAATCAATGATGAGTTTTAACATGCTATTCACTGTTGTAGTTTGGTATGCTGATTACATTCCTCTTTGAAAAATTTCCAAACTGGGAAGCTGCTAGTGCTCAAGCCATTGGTAATTTAGAGGTAAATGGTGAATCTTTAGTTTGTTCTGCCTTTTGCTGACTCACATTGATTTGCAAGGCCAACTATAATGCTGAAACTTCCCTTATTGACCTAAGTTTCTGTTTTCTAGGAATTTTATAAGGACTCAAAAAAAAGATTTGACAGTGATCCTGTGTTCAAGGAGAGGGCTCAAAGGGCTGTAGTCAGTCTCCAGGTGAACATTTTTAAGCAGTTGCATAATGGAGACACCACATAGACAACATGTTATTTAAAAGTTTGCATAACCTGCTGAGCAATTTTTTCTTTTCTCAAACACAAATACAATTAATAGAGAAGTATTATTTGGAAGATCTATCTGTTTTTTTTCCAAGCCTTGAACCACACAGGTCCAGTAGCAAAGTAGTAATAATAAAAGGGTAGCTTAGTGCTCATCTTAGCTTTAAAAGGCGTGAAGCGGCCTGAGGTGTTTTAGGTCAATTTACCTGAGGCGCGAGGTGAAGTCATGGCCCTGGAATTCATCATTGTCGTTAACCTCATTCTCCAAAGTAATTTTATAATAAATTGTAGTTGTAATTTTTAAACAATTAATATAAATTTAATAATAAAACCTTATATAATCGATTGTTTATAATTATGAACTAAGGCGGAATGGCTTAGCTATGTGCTAGAGTTTGGCTGTTCGGCGGCTTGGTTGTTTGAGGTTATGTAGATGGTGTCTCATTTTTTCAGCGTTGCAACGGCCGTCAAGACTAGGGATCAAAAGCGCCAAGGCTTTGGAACCGATCGTTGGTCTTCACCATTTGTTTCATCGCTTGTATTGTTTCTTAGTGCCAAAGGCAATTTTCTCCATTGGCATCGGTGTAATAACGAAGAAATGGTAGGGAAAATAACGGATAAGGAGTAGGGTGCGTTGAATGATGAGGCCTACGATCGTTTGGTCTTGGAAGGAGATGATGAAGTGTTGTTGGTTAGCCCCCCTTCTAAACCGTCGCCATGAAATGAACGAGTGGCCAGGGATTAGAAGATGAAAATTCAAGCTTGGTTATGGCCACATGCAATTCGTTGGTTTATTTTTGTTTGAGTTTTTTTTTCTTCTGTTAAACAATTTTCCTTGTTTTTGTATCGGTTGTGTTTGTGACAGTCTGAAGATGTCTAGTTTAGCTGTGACCGGAGGTATTGAGAATTCTAAGGCCGTTAATAGCTCTGAAGCTCCTTTATGTTCAACGAAAAGTTTCGCTCAGTTTTAGGTGAATTTATTTTTCTATGCCTGATATGGGACTAAGAAGACCTTTTGGCTATTATGAGAATTCTAGTTTAAATATGACCTCAGGTATTGAGAATCATAAGGCCATTAATAGCTTTGAAGCTCCCGTATGTTTAGTGAAAAGCTCAGCTCAGTTTTAGGTAAATTTTTGAATGCTTGAAAAAGGGCTAAGGGGACCCTTTGGCTATTATTAGTCTAGTGAAGTGGTGAAGAGTATGGCGACCTTAAAGGTAAAAAAGAACTCTATGTTGCTCGTTTGGTAGTCAGGGATTCGCGGCATCAAGGTGCTTCTTTGGAGGTGGCCGTCAAGTAGAAGTTTCTTGAGTCTAGATGAAGTTTTTGGATGATAAGTGGTGGATTTTGAGCTTTTTGATGGTTGCAACTCTTGGTCAGTTTCATTATTAATACAAGTTAAGCGTTCTCCGTTAAAATCATTATAAACTGTCATATACTCATATATAATTGTTATATTATAAACTACCCCATACGAAATAATCCACAGTTAGCAGTAACTCTTAATAATAATTTTTGAGCAACTAACCGTCATCATCATTACCCCAGTGCCGCAAAGGCTCCCACCTACGGTGGGGTAAGGGGGAGTCGGATGTACGCAACCTTATCCCTGTACTAAAGCTAGCACAGAGGGACTGTTTGCAGATGACCCAGGGTGAAAACTGCATCGAAAATTGTATGAACGAACGGCTGCTTCATAACAAAGAAGTGCAGACAGTTTAGACTGTTTAGTGAGCCATTTTGCTTTATTCCATCATATTCCGAAGTCAAAAAATAGTGAATTTTTGGCTCCATTGCAACCTTAGTTTAAAAAAGGGCGCCTGAGGCGCGCAAAGGCGCGAGGCGCTTACAGGCGAAGAGGTCATCGCCCTTTACATAGCCAGGCGGCTTAGGGTCTAAGAGGCGTGCGCTTCTAGCGCTTATTAGCGCCTTTTGCGCTTCTGAGAGGCGAGCGCCTTTTCCGCCTCATGGATGTCTCTGTTGAATTGCTGGCGATTCCCATTCCTATTATTTTGTCGATTCAAATTCTGGTTCCAGAAATTTCCTGCGGTGGTATTATAAATTGACAAGGTAAGTTCTCATCCCTCACGCCAAACTCCAAGACTCCAAATTCTCTAGTCTTCTTCCTTCCTTCTGCGTTTGGTCTTCCTTCTGCGTTTGGTCTTCGGATATATCTGCGTAACTCTGCTTCCCAGTTCCTACTTTATTTGCGCTTCTATCACGCGTTGCAGAGCCAACAGAGGTAAGTCTACTTATTTTTTTTATCTTCTTTTATTTATTCTCTTTTATTTTAAATTACTATTACTATTAACAGTTTTTATATAACCTAATTATTTAATTTATCACAAAATGACTACCAATTTATCACAGTTTATTACATTAATTAGTTAAGTTACTATTAACAGTTTTTATATAACTTAATTATTTAGTTTATCACAAAATGACTATTAATTTATTACAGTTTATTACATTAATTATTTAAATTACTATTAACAGATTTTATACAACTTAATTATTTAATTTATCACAAAATGGCTATTAATTTATCACAGTTTATTACATTAATTATTTAAATTATTATTAACAGTTTTTATATAACTTAATTATTTAATTTATCACAAAATGACTATTAATTTATTACAGTTTATGACATTGATTATTAAATTACTATTAACAGTTTTCATACAACTTAATTATTTAATTTATCACAAAATGACTATTAATTTATCACAGTATATTACATTAATTATTTAAATTATTATAAACAGTTTTTATATAACTTAATTATTTAATTTATCACAAAATGACTACTAATTTATCACAGTTTATTACATTAATTATTCAAATTAACATATATTTATCACAGTTTATCACAGTTTTTATTGTCTTTAATTAATATTTTGTTTCTCTTATGATGTTTATTAAGATTGTTTAATAGTTTGAAGTATTTTTGAGAAGTGTGCTTCATGTAGAAGTACTAAAAATATATTTAACGATGGAAATGTGGCTGAGATCCTTGAGGCGCGCGCCTCACTGCCTCGCGCCTCGCGCCTCGGGTAAATCAAAGAAATCGCCTCAAGGTGCCTCTCGCCTTTTAAAACCAAGATTGCAACTAACAGTAATTGTTTTAATAAACTATTGTATAATAAGTTGTTAATAATAATAATAAACTATCTCTGTAAAAAATTTATCCAGTCATATATAAATCTTATGTAATAAACTACTACGTATAAAATAGGACACAGTTTATAGTATTTTTTAATAATTTATTATAATTAAAAGGTTAATACTGATTTTTAAACAATTAATAGTATTTGTTAACCATAATAAACTGTCATACACAATTGTGATGTAATAAACTACGTAGTATCATATAACATGCAATTAATATTATTTTTTATTAAACTGGTAAAAGTAAAAATTTAAACAATCTATTTGTAGAAATCCTCTTTATTATTATTTAAAATTGATAAACCATCTGATTTGGTTTAGGGCAGATGGTTAATGGATATATATTTAAATAATTGAAACTGTCTGGCATATTTAAAAAATTGAGATAAAAAAAGAAGAAAAAGTTAAAGGAAACAAAAATAAAGGTGAAGATTGGAAAAATAAGGAAGGCGGAAGAATGAAGGGGGAGAATCACCAAAGGTCTCTCAGGGATAAGTCGATTAGTCGACACCCTTCCAGAGGCGCCATAGGCGGATGCCTCCCAGAAGTGCAGAAAGCAGCAAAAGGCAAGGGATATGGCGCGCCTATGGGTATCTACTGTGTATGGGATTAATTGATGCGATATCCCCATCGCCTAGCGCCGCCTAGCGCCTTTTTTAAACTAAGGTGCTCATTGGTGTTACCGCTAGGCGAGGGTCTGGGAAGGGTCACACCGCTAGTAGCTGTTAACTTTTTATTAAATTAAAGATAAAGCAATGATTAAACATATAGCTTGTTATTTCACTGCTTTCCTATGTCATTATGGTGTGGAACTATCTATATTAGGTGATGGTTTGTGGGTTATATCCTTTTCATTGTTAACAGGGTGGGGACCATGATTACAGAAAAGCATGGTCACAAATCTGTGAAATTAGTCGGAAAGAATTTCAAAAGATCTATGATCGACTTGGAGTACATTTGGAAGAGATGGTACCACTCTGAGCTTTAATTGTTGTTGAAATTGTTATTTGCAATATATTATGTACTTCTGTTTCAATAAACCAAATGAAACTTAACGACTATGTGGCCCATATTGCGGTTTACTGGTTTTTGTTCAGGGAGAAAGCTTCTACAATCCTTTCATTCCTGATGTAATAGAGATCTTAAATAAAAAAGGCTTGGTTGAAGAAAGTGATGGGGCTCGTGTCATCTTCATTGAAGGGAAAAGCTATCCACTTATTGTTGTAAAGAGCGATGGGGGTTATAACTACTCTTCAACTGATCTTGCTGCCATTTGGTAAGCATAATTGGGATGCTTTTTTTGCCAATTGTGATTTAACACATTATTTTTAACAATATGGATATTTTTTGTATGGCTGTTTCTGTTGGCATCTTCTCAGTTATGCTGATCACTGTTATCTATAATTTTTTCTTAGTGATGTCATTAAAATGTAATGCAGTTTACTGGTTGACTGTAAATAGGAATGATTCGTGCTGTAAATAACAAAAAAAAGTTGAGTATATCAGAAGGGAAAAGGAACATATATACCCCTGCACTATTATGGTGGGAACAAATATACCCCTCTTCTTTTTTTTTAGAACAAAAAACTCATAAAACTGCAATTAGGATACAAATGTACCCCTCTCCTAACATTTAGTCTCTTATTCTCCATCAGCAACATTTTTCTTTCCAACTTCAGCTCATTTATCAAATCTTTAGCCCAAATCGGTTATAAAGAAGAAGATCACCATTGACCTGCAAATTTTTTATTCTCCACATAAGCTGATAAATGAGAAGAAGATCACCATTGACCTGCACTTTACGAAAATCTCTTATTCTCCACCAGCTTATTATTGCTGTTATCAACATCATGCCATTCAAAATATATGCATCCATTGACCTGCACATTTTTATTCACTTTTCTATTCAAATAACATGTAAAAAAAATATTTACACAAAAAGATAATCATAAACATCTCAGGAAGGAAAAATCTAGGTAGACAAACCAAAAATTTGAATCTTGGAGCTTTTGTCCACAAAAGCATCGTTTTCACTTCCCTTCATACTCAAGCTCGAAAATGACTGGCTTTGCAAAGCTACTGGACGGAATCGAGTAAGATGAAGACATAAAGAATTATAAGGAAGAAGGAAGAAGCTTTAATCACGTCGCTGCTAAAATGTGAAGAAGCCTGGAGCTGACCCTAGTTGCTACGATGGAGAAGAATTTTAGATCTTACAGAAAGTTGTCAAAGGTTAGGAGAGGGGTACATTTGTTTCCTAATTGCAATTTTATGAGTTTTTTGTTCCAAAAATAAGAAGAGGGGTATATAAGTTCCTTTTCCCTATATCAGAATGAGTATCTTTTTAGGAAGCCAGTAGCCTCCCAGCTTGTGGATGAATGGTTAAATTGCATTTTCAAGACAAAAATACTTGCATGCATGCAGGGATTTGTGAGCTTGACTGTCAACTTGTTTAATATCGTTTTCTTGTCGAAGTACATGTTTGGTTCTATTGATCCTTTAATATTGTCTTAATTTCTAGGTATCGACTCAATGAAGAAAAAGCAGAGTGGATTATTTACGTGACTGATTCTGGCCAGAGAGAACACTTTGAAATGGTTTTTATTGTAAGTCTTTAATACCATACCTTGTCACAGTAAGCAGGCTCATACTCCAGATTTGTGAAAATAAGTTAACCGTACTGTGCTTTACTCCAATTCTTCTTCCAGGCTGCAAAACGTGCAGGCTGGCTTCCGTCTGATGAAGAGGCATATCCCAAAGCTACTCATGTGGGATTTGGCATGGTTTGTGGTGAAGATGGGAAACGGTTCCGTACTCGAAGTACTGATGTTGTGAAGTTGACCAATTTACTCGATGAAGCCAAGAGCCGGTGTAGATCTGCTCTCATTGAAAGAGGTGTGCAAATAATCACATGGTTGTTTCTTCTCAAGTGTGATATTTTAAGGCTAGAAGTTCTTTCTACTTTTTTTGTATTCCTTTAAGTTCTATAATTTGATTCACGTCTGCTTTTTGCTAAGTAATGATGCAAAAGGACTTTATATCTTACCATTGTTTTAAATTGCGCAATGCCTTACCGCAATAACGGGTGCCTTGAGATTTTATTACCAATTTACAATGGGAGGCGTATCCCATACAAACAATACTGGAACTTGCGCAATTGCACCAAAGGCGTACGCCTATTTTTTACGCAATAGTGTGTTTTATGAGGCGCACCTTATCTAGAAGAAGCATTCCCGTAGACTATTAAGTTCTCCTGCGGGTGTAGACAAGAGGTTGGGTCCACTTCTTAAATATGTTTTAAAGTTTACGCCTTGTACAACTTTACTTCTGCTGCTAGCCTGTGAGTTTACTTCTTCTCTACGGCTGCGATGGAAGACGTGAGCAACACCGGCTGAGAAGGTGAGATCTGCGTTCAACTTTTTACTGGTTCTGTGTGAAGGCTAAAGGCTGCGTCAGCTTTTATTTATTTCGTTTCTTCACGGCTTCGTGACAAAGTGGCGTGGTTTTAAGTTATTGGGAGAACTACCAAATAAGCCCTCAAAAGTACATAAAAAGTGCAAATCACCCCTTATATAGGAGTCTCTCTCCGGACGCCGCCATTTGGGGCGGTTCCCGGTGGAATGTTTTGATGAAGATTTTTGAGCATCTTATTCATTAAGTCTAGTGTGCTCATACCAAATTTCAGCAATCGGGAAGGCAGTCAAATAAATTTTTGAAGATAACTGCGCAGTTTAACAGCGCATTATATTTCAGAAAATCATTTGACTGCCTTCCCGGTTGAATTTTTAGTTGAGATTTGGTATGAGTACACTAGACTTAATGAATAAGATGCTCAAAAACATTCATCGAAAAATTCCACCGGGAACCGTTCCAAATGGCGACGGCCGGACAGAGCCTCCTATATAAGGGGTGATTTGCACTTTTTATATAAGTTTGAGGGTTTATTTGGTAGTTCTCCCTAAGTTACTTTAATATTTTTCATAGCCATAAAATATGACAAGTTGCATGGTTTTAATAATACACATAATATAGCAGGCAAGCAGCTGTATGATTTGAACTTATGAAGTGTTTTTCATATGTATGGGCTGGATGATAAAAATTTACTTACTTAAATTGTTTTTAATATAGTTTTTTTTTTTATAAAAGTTGGATAAGTAAAAAGAACTTGACAAAATAATTACTACGTACTATTTTGTGAACTTTGTTTTTGTTACCTATATTAGTGGTTATTGTGTTGGTACATAACTTGATTTGATTATGATATTTATTGTCTTTAATGATTATTTTAATTTATTTTACTTACATTATTTGTATTTTTTATATATAAACTTGTGTGATATATGAGGCTTATGCCTCATTGCGCAATGAGGCTTACGCAATAAGCAATGCTAAGAAACTGCCTCAAATATGGAATATACAATTTCAAACTTGTATCTTACATTCTTACTTTAATTTGTTTCATCAGGCAGAGCAGATGAGTGGACTGAAGAGGAGCTTGAGAGAACTGCTGAAGCAGTTGGATATGGTGCTGTTAAGTGAGTTCCATATGACTGTGCAAACCTATCTGGCATTTATATCTCTCTCTCATTCTAATGTGGGAATTCAATGCTGGAATTCCTGCTTTAATTTTAGATAATTGATACGTAGTATTTAATTGAATTCGAGAGAAATTGTAAACCTGACAAACATTGCATACACATTTTTCCATCTAGACTTTTCCCAATGAGACTAAATTAGAAAAAGCAAAAGAAGGAATATTATCTGGTAGAATGTGTGCTGTGCTTGGGTGAGAAGGAACAGGTGAAAGCTAATGAGATGTTCAAACTGTGATAATCCCCCCCATAACAATATATACTGGACAGCTAGGAAGCACGAAAACTCTCCATGGCTCACGTTTCCACGTTTCGGAAACTCGGAAGCGTTTCAGAAACTCGGAAACTTCAAATTCCCGTTTCGGGGCCATTTGTAATTAAGAAAAATTTGGAAACCCGTTTCACTACGTTTCGGAAACCTCAGATTCCATTTTTTTTTCTTTTTCAAAAGATTCTGTGGTGGAAAATAATTTTTTATAGTGAATTTTTGTGGTATTTCTCAGCGGCAACACTTGTTACATTTCGTAACGCAATGTATTGCTAGAAATGTATTACTCCGTACATTTTATGTTTAATTATGTACTAATATGAAATAATATCTAAATTCGAACATGTATAGTGATTTTATTATTTGGTTTCTAAACAAATTATATTAAAAAACATGTGCATATGGAAAAACTTGTGTACATATATTAAAAAATATTTATAAATATATCCTTATATTTTATAATATTTACGCGTTTCTCCCACGTTTCGTGTCCTATATTTTTTAGAAATTACGTTTCTCGCGTTTCCCGTTTCACGTTTCCTGTTTCCCGTTTCCCGTTTCCGTGCTACTTAGCTGGACAACCATGTTAGGTAGGTATCTCTGGGCTACATTATCAACATTCATCTAGTTATATACTACCTCCGTCCCACTAACATTGGGGCGGAAGAAGGTGACACGGTTATTAAGAAAAGTGAGTTTATGTGGTTGATATTGAATTGTAAAAGTAAAAATAAAGTAAGAATGATTTAGAGCCACACAAACTTCCTCAAATTTGGTATGGGACAATCTTAGTGGGACTTCCCTAAAAGGTAAAATGGGACAATCTTAGCGGGACAGAGGGAGTATTATCGGGTAGAATGTGTGCTGTGCTCGGGTGGGAAGGAACAAGTGAAAGCTAATGAGATGTTCAAACTGTGATAATCCCCCCTCCCCCATAACAATATATACTGGATACTCATGTTAGGTAGGTATCCCTGGGCTACATTGTCAACATTCATCTAGTTATATATTCACGACCTGCTCCATGCAACATTCATTTAGTTATATATTCACGACCTGCTCCATGACCAGTGACATTATAGATGAAAGTGCTTTTGATTTTTTCCAAAATCTTCCTTGTGTTGGCATGTCACTGGCCTTAATTTTAAGTATTCAATTTGAAACAGATATGCTGACCTGAAAAACAATATATTGACCAATTACACCTTTAGTTTTGATCAGATGCTTAGTGACAAGGTATGTTGCTGGAATTAAATTCACACAAACTTTATATAACTAGTTTTAACCCTAAACACTATTGTTGATCTTACTTGACCTGTTTTCAACTATCAGGGCAATACTGCTGTATACCTGCTGTATGCACATGCACGGATCTGTTCAATCATCAGGAGGTCAAAAAGAGATATAGATGATTTGATACATGTACTTTATCATCATTCTTAATTTCCTTTCTAACTTGTATTTGTGTGGATTGTATTTGTGTGGAGGTGCTTGGATGTGTGAGTGGGTAATGAAGGGTTTAAAACTCAACCTACCATTGTCCCGCCTATTGGTGCGAGATGATTCATGCTCATTAAGGTTATGCATTTTATTTTTATTTTTAACTAGGAACCTTAGGTTGACACCTTTGAAAGTGCAGTGAAGGTCATGAACGTGGCCATAGGTCTTATTGACTGCCCAATTTTGTGTTTTAGTTTTTTAAAAAATTAGTTTTCTTTTGTGTTCTTTTGTTCTCTTTCATACTTTTCCATCCTCTCTCCTACTTTGTCTACACTATTCATTACCCTAACTACTTTTCCGTTCAACTACGTGCCATACCCTATTGTAGCAAACATTTCAGTACGGAGGGAGTATCTAAATTATAATTAGTTTTTTATTTAAATAATTGAAATGTTTGCTACATTTCCTGTTTATAGGATATGTCACAATTAAAATGAAACAAGAATTTCTTGTTTCAAATAATTTTCATAAGTTCATTTTTTGGAATTGAACAAAGAACACATTTTTTGGTTTCTGTTTCCAGAAAATAACATGAAAAAATTGCTTATAATGTTTCGTTCCTAATAAAGGAGTAGAACGATAAAAATGTTCTCTTTTAAGAGTGAATAAGTGCTATTCTGTAAAGAGAACAATTGTGGTCCTATTTGAGGAAATGTGCCATGTTGTAATCCTAAGGGAATTTCTAATACATAGTTTAACGTTTTATAGAAAATGTCAAAATTGGAATTTATGTTTTAAATTATTCCCGTTACTTTGTTTTTTAGAAACTGAACAAAGGAACCTGCCAAACACATTTATTTTTTGTTCACTTTTTATAAAAGTAAACCTAAAAACAGAGAGCGTTACCAAACGACACCTAAGTTTGTACTTGAAAACATCTTATCAATACTCATGTGTCATATTCACAACCTTCCCTACCTCTATAAAAAAGGTAAATAATGAAGCAAGAGGAATGTCAATCTATCAATATTCATCTTTTAAGTTTGTTTTCTTTTACATCAGAATCTTTTGTATGAGATTACCCAAGAGTGGCTTTATTTTTTCACTGCCCATGGATGCTTGTATGAGAGAAGCACTAAAAACGGCATCTTTGTGGTGTCTGTGGATGGTAGTGGATATGCAATCTACAACTTAGATTTTGCTATCCTTCTAGTTAAACTTTGTAGACTCATGTCTTGGCACCGACCCCAAAATCTATTGGGACTAAGGCTTTGGTGCTGTTTGTTGTCTGTTGAACAGAATGGGACACTAGATTTAGCTCATCAAGATGAGCGCGTGTTGGGACTTCATTTACTCCAGTTCCCCGAGGTAAGTTACCAAACACATCATCTTATCTCCTTAGCATCAATTTATAACTAGGTATGAGTGTACGACTTTATTCGGTGTTGCATCTTTCTATATCTTCTTTTCTGTAGACCGTTGAAGAAGCTTGCTCAAATCTCCAGCCAAATATATTGTGCGAGTATCTCTATAAACTATCCGAGGACTTCACAAGATTCTATAACAACTGTCAGGTATGCAAGCTCTCCATGAATAAATATTGAATGAGTAAAAAACTGAATCTCAATCTTTTATACTTTTGCATATTTGATGCTGGGTGCTTCCTATAAAGTAACTGTCGGTAGATAGCAAATTTTACCACAATTGGCTCTACCTATTCTCGTTATACCCCTGATGGCCCGATGATACTTATATACTACCTCCGTCTCTCTAACATTATGGGCAAGAGGAGTGGTGCATTTATTAAGATAAGTGGACTTATGTGGTTGAAATTAAATTGATAAAGTAAAGTATCATTGAATTGTATGTAACCACCCAAATATTATCAAATATCACGAAAAGGGTAAGATGTAACAAAGATAGGAGAATGAAGGGAGTATTTATTTTTTTTGTTATCCAAATGTAAAGAAATATGAATTACTCCCGTACACAATTTAGAATGCCAAATCAAAATATATATGTTCGGTAAAAAAGTTGGGTGATAAGATGAAAATATGAGTTACCAAATACGAAGTATGTAACAATTTGAGGTTGGCTCTACACCTTTGATCTTCTGTCGGTTGTTTATCTTTATTTATTTTCACTTTTCTATTATTCATTGTAACTTTAATGTTTCATCAATAAATCTTCCTCTTTATATATAAAAAAAATCCCCCCCCCCCCACCGAAATTACCTAACCGAACAAGCCCTTGTTGATTGGTATTCAATCACTTTGTAATTTTCAGGTGTTAGGTTCAGCCCAGGAAGAAAGCAGGCTGTTACTATGTGAAGCAACATCAGTGGTCATGAGGAAGTGCTTTCACTTGCTGGGCATCACCCCCGTTTACAAACTTTGAGTCTAGATTTGACAACCCAACGCTTTGTAGCTGCTATCATATCACGTTAAAAAGAATAGAACCCTCGTTTTGCACACTTCCCCTTCTTTTGGAAGGAACAATGCATTGAGTAGGTGCACCAGTTGTGTTTCTTGAAGTTGATTGTTAAAAGATTAGCTATTGTTAAAAGAATTTAAAATGATCATGTGTATTTACATAGTACCATTAAAAAAGACTTGCACTAAGCAAATGTAGGTTGTTCGAAAAATATGTTTTATGGTAAACATAACAATGGAGCTGAGCATTGCATGCATGTTTTAAATTTGATCTACAGGCCAGGTAAAGAATTAACATTTGTCGGTTCTGGGCTCGGTTCCATCAAAATGAGACCCGGCCGGGCCCGGGCCCGGTTCGGGCCAAATTGATTTTTTTTTCTTCATTTTTTTCGGTTCCACCCGGGTTGGGATTGATGTTTAGGAGGGGTTTGGGGGGTAGGGAGTGAGGGATACTTGGGAAAGCAAAAAAACCAAACCCGAGGCCCGGCCCGGTCCGGACCAGGTAGCTACCTGGGCCGGTCCCGGGCCTACGCCCGGCCCGGACCCGACCCGCCCCGAGTCCACCACTGGCTAGGTAGCTATGCATGCCAAGATGCATTCATATCCCACGAGTTAAATTAAACTATATGAAGTACTACCTCCGTCCCGGATTCCCGGTAGACTTTGCCAAGTGCAAAGTAGGTGAGAAATAAGAATAGTAAAAAATGTGTGGTTGAGATTTGTGCAGAGGAGAGAGAAATGTGCAGAACTACAAATTAGTTGTTTTAATAAGGTGACAGTTTTTTGGGACAACAAAAAAGGAAAGTTGGCAAAATCCAATGGGACGGAGGGGGAGTATATGAAAGCATGCATGCATGTAGGGTGAAAATGTAGACAATTAATAGGATTGTGGAGCGCGCATCATGCATGTTTTGGCAAATATAAATAATATAATGTGCGTTGTTATAATTAATTAGTAGAATAATTATTATTATTATTAACAATGGAGCTGAGCATTGCATTCCTGTTTTAAATTTGACATTTGTCGGTTCCGGGCTCGGTTCCATCAAAATGAGACCTGGCCGGGCCCGGGCCCAGTCCGGGCCAAATTGATTTTCTTTTTTTTCATTTTTTTGGGTTCCACCCGGGTTGGGCTTGATGTTTGGGGGGTGGGGAGTGCGGGGGGGGGGGGGGGGGGTCAGGGATATTTGGGAAAGCAAAAAAAAAAAACCAAACCGGAGGCCCGTCCCGGTCCGGACCCGGTAGCTACCTGGGCCGGTCCCGGGCCTACGCCCGGCCCGGACCTGACCCGCCCCGAGTCCACCACTGGCTAGGTAGCTATGCATGCCAAGATGCATTCATATCCCAGAATTAAATTAAACTATACGAAGTACGGAGTATATGAAAGCATGCATGCATGTAGGGTGAAAAAATGGAGACAATTAATAGGATTGTGGAGCGCGCATCATGCATGTGTTGGCAAATATAAATAATATAATGTGCGTTGTTATAATTAATTAGTAGAATAATTATTATTATTAAAAATGGTGTGAGAGAAGAAATATACATATATAAATGTGGATGGGAGTTTATGAATTGCTGCATGCATGTGTGCAGTCATGTAATTGAGATATAAATCCCATGCATCCACATGATAAATAAAACATACAAAAAGAGAAGCTAAGCTATAGATGTAGGTGAGTGAGAGAAAACATGCATAGAGCTGTTGACGTAAGTAGTAGGTCCGGCCGATGTGCAGGGGCGGGCAGCAATTCCAAGGATGAATGCGATCCAGCAGCGCATGCATGCAGCTACGTACTTAACAAACAAGCTAAGCAGTTGCTAATAATATATATATGGAGTAATATAATTAAGGTTGTTGAATTGAATATATATATATATATATATGGGTAAACATATATGGGTACATACATACGTGTTCCCATGCAACTTATAAACAGTGTACGTTTAGGATCCATATAGAGGCCGGAAAATATAAGAAAGTAAGGTATAGTGTAGTAAGGAGGTAAGAAATATATATAAAAGCTAATTAATTAATTAATTATTCGGTAAATAATTATTAGATGGAAAGGGTGGGCCCCCAGGGCAGGGTGATGGATTGGATGATATAATTATTGATGAATGAATAATAAAATGGAGGAGCTAGCTAGTAGCCCTGGTCAAGCAAGTAATCGCCGAGCCTCTCGACGACCAAGTTGCACTGGCCCGGAGTCATGGGCTCATCGTAGATGCCGAAGAGCAAGCACTGGGTGGTCTTCTTGACGGTGATGCCGCCGGGGCCCTTTTTGCCGCGCACCACCGCCCCGGGCTCGCCTTGAATCACCATGTACTTGGTCCCGCCCAGGTGCAGTCCCGTGGGAGCCAGGGAACCCGGCTCATCAAAATCCTTCATGATCGCGCTTATTTCATCGCCGCTCAACTGCATGCCATGCATATCATAATTAATTATACATACATACATACATACATACATACATACATACATACATACATACATACATACATACCTTGGGGAAGTTGGCGGTCTGCGCCCAAACGCTGCCGTCGTGGCCCAGGATGGCGGCAGAGGTGAGCTTGTTGCCTTCCATGTCGCACATCAGGTGATCGTCCACGTATGTTTGCCACGACATCCTTAATTATATAGCTACGTATTCGATCAATATGTATGTATGTATACGATGGATCTACGTTTATGCATGTACGTAGCTACTTGATTGATTTTTATGTACGTACGTACGTTCTTAATTAACTCGATCTACGTTTGACCCAGCAATTAAGTAAGTTTTTTAAGGGCCGGAGCTGATGAGCTGAGATGGATCGATAGATTGAAGGGGAATTGGGCTATATATCATCCTACCTACCTATCCCATGTAGTGGTGGAGAGAGAATGATGGCAGAGGATCACGCCCCACCCCTACCCTTATTCTTTACCCAGCTGAAAGAGTCTCCATTCATTTATCAATTTTAATTTCTTTATCAATTCTCTCTCTCATACACTACTATACCTCTGTCCCCAAAAAATTCCTATATGACTTTATCTTAGTCAATGCAACAATGATTTTAATTATTATATTTCTATATAATTTATAAACTTTATACTTTTATGAAATTATTTTGAATAAAGAACATTTTAATATAAATTTCTTATTCTAAATAATTTCGTGTTAAAAAATTTCATTAGCCTAAGTTGATTACCATTGACCAAGAAAAGTCAATTTGGCGTACCTTTTCGGGATTGAGAGAGTACATAGGGATGACAATGGGGCGGGTTTGGGGCGGGGGTTCACTCCCCCTTCCCCCGCCCCATGTCTAAAAAGCCCACCCCCCACCCCATCCCCCGCTACTCCCCGACCCGCCCCATCCCCGCCCCACCCCATTGTTCCCCACGGGTCTCCATGGGTGCCCCCATATAAATTTTATTTTTTATTATTTGCATATTTTTTAACCTATTTTATAGATAAATACTCCCACCGTCCTGATCGAATTATAAGATACTTTTCGGTTTAGGATGTTTGACCGACGATAAAGCAAACAGATCTCTGTTTGCACTCAAATTATTTTTAGAAAAAAAATTACATATTCAGAAACTACATTAAAACCGCTACAAACCCTGCAATAAATAATTCAAATTTCATAAAATTTTGATATATAAAGTAGAGATTAAGAGCGATTTGTGTTGACCAAATGAATAGTAAAGATATCTTATAAAATGGGACAGAGGGAGTTTATATGTAGCACTAAAAGAGGTAAACTAGCTAATATTGTGTTTAATAAAAGTTAATTCCGCCAATTTTTAATAGTTCTTTAATTTGAATAAGTTATGTGAAGATAATAAAAGTAAAAATGTAAGTAAACATATTATGAACTTGTATGTCTTTACAGATTTCTCATCAATTAAAATACAATTAATTATTTATATTGTACATACATATGCATATATGTGTGTGCTATTTCCTCACTTTCTCACTTTTAAAACACATCTAACATTTATGATAAGTATTTTCAGTCATTATGTACCTATATTAATATTCTAATATAATAATATGCATTAGTTCATTAACCGCGACTAAACACATACATTTATATATATGTATATGTATATGTATATGTATATGTATATGTATATGTAGAGGACTTTTCATGTTCAGCCGGCCTGACGGGAACCGCTGTCCGGCCGAGGGCATTTTGGGCACTTCCCGGTGGAATTTTTTGATGAAATTTTTTGAGCATGTTCTTCATGAAGTCTAGTTTATCAATACCAAATTTCAGCTAAAAATTCAATCGGGAAAGCACTCAAATAATTTCTTGAAGTTAACTGGGCAGTTCATACATATAAACTGCCCGGTTAACTTCACAAAATTATTTGAATGCCTTCCCGATCGAATTTTGAGCTGAAATTTGGTATGGATAAACTAGACTTCGTGAAGAACATGTTCAAAAAATTGCATAAAAAAACTCCATCGGAAAGTGACCGAAATGCCCTCGGCCGGACGGCGGTTCCCGTCAGGCCGGCTAGACAAGAAGACTACTCTGTATATGTATATGTATATGTATATGTATATGTATATGTATATGTATATGTATATGTATATGTATATGTATATGTATATGTATATGTATATGTATATGTATATGTATATGTATATGTATATGTATATGTGATAGATTATTTAATCTTAGAGAGAAGAGAGAGATAGAGATATAAAGTGATATGTATAATGAATTTCCAACTTCCAACCTTCCAATCCCTTACATGGCTCCCATAGGGAGTATTTATAGGAGAAAAGAGGGCTGAGATTTCAGGCTTGGGCCTAGCTGGCCCAATTACAATAAAAGGCTAATAAATGACATTTAATATATTCTAATGAATATACATGAATAAAATAGAGTGTACAATGAGATAAAGGCTATCTACTGAGCGTATGTGGGCCGCTGTCCGGGCCCAATAGTCGTGAGACCTGGGGGTCTGAGTCTATATACTCTATCAATATGTATATGTATATGTATATGTATATGTATATGTATATGTATATGTATATGTATATGTATATGTATATGTATATGTATATGTATATGTATATGTATATGTATATGTATATGTATATGTATATGTATGTTGATATATGTGTGTGTGTGTTATATATTTCGAGTTTATATTTATAACGGGGACATGGCGGGAACGGGGCGGGTGTAGCAATCCCCATCCCCGCCCCATATTTTAGCGAGGGATAAATATCTCACCCATCCCCATCCCCGCCCCGCCCCAAACCCCACCCCATCCTCTCCCAACGGGGCGGTTCCCCACGGGCCCCCATCCTCAGGAGTACATAGTTTGAATCACATAAAAAATGTCTCAACGTGTGAAAAGGAATTAGCATCAATCGTCCATAAAGTTAATCTGATGCACAATAAATTAAACCTTATCTGATGCATTTTTTCAATGAACCTTATCTCGCACTTTTTATGCACACATATATAAAGCGTAGTATTGTTCAATAATTTATTTAACTCAATTCCCGATTGAATTTTAAGCTCAGTGTGTATGTATATATATTCCACACTTCATGGAAAGCACACTCACAAAATTTCATAAAAAAAATTCACCCGAAAAGCACCTCAAGCGGGCTTGACCGATTGGGACTCCCCATCAGGCGCAAAGGAGATCTTTACTATATATAGGGAAAAAATACGTGAGAAATGTCTCTTTGACTGAAAACTGAGAAGTTGTAACTAATAAAACTAATAAGGTAACTTATAAAAAATAAAATATAAAACAACGCTTTCTAATGATAAAGTGTGGAAGTATGATACAAGTGTGATATTGCGATGAAAACAACCAGTATCATTGGAATATTGGATACTCGATGATATTTATATTTTTTGACACATCAATGCAGTCAAGACACCTCAATTCTGATAACCATTAATTCGTTACATATAACATATAAAACTAAATATATAACTTTTATCAAAAGTATAGCTTCATGTGATAAATTGAGTAAATGTAAGACAAGTTACTTAGAATTTTAAATATTTACTTAGAATTGATCGCACGTAATAATATATGAGAATATTGGGTTCAATCTCTAAATATGAAACCTCTGATTCTTCACTTGCAATTTCAAATATAAATAAAGAATTCAATTCAAAATTAAATCTTTAATCCTTCAAATATTCGAACGTTCTTCTGATCTTCGAATCTCCATTCTTGAGATCTTCGAATCTCCATTCTTCGGATCTTCAAATCTTCTTGAATGCAGAATTCAGTTTGAAGGGCTTCCAATTTTCAAGTAGCTTGATGTTCAACAAAAGGGTCATTTTATGGCTTGATCTTCTGTTAAAGGGCTTCCCGAGATATATGGTTTGATCTTCAATTGAATCTTGATTCAATCTTCATATGTGTTGAAGTTTGTTCCTTCAACCTTTGGGTCCAACACGTAAGCCCAAAGATTTCGAATAGAGTGGTGTATGTGTGTATGAATAAACTAGCCCAACCAACAAACAAGATGGATTAAGAGATGATAACTAGCAAGTAAAAGATCAGGTATTATTAATCAGTTAATAACTCCCCAATACAATACGCTCGCTAAGGCTCGTCGGTCGTTCGTCTTACAAGGCAGTAGAAGAGCTGCGAGTAAGAGTTAAGTATAAGCTAGAGTGCTAAGGCTGATAAGTTGTCAACCTTTTACAATGAAATACATGCTACTATTTATACCACCAATGAGCAGTTGGCTATGCTGATGTGGAAGGATGTGAGTGGCTAATGCCTCAACCACCAAATCTCCAACATTAAATGCGCGTCCCGCCCGAATCTAGGTTTCCCGCCTAATTTGCGGAGACGGACGTCCAGTTGGATCTGGGGCCTGCTCCTGGTGACGGTGCAAAGGGTTGTGGGCCGTTCGTATTCCGGTCCTTGGTAGAATTTAGCTGTGTTGCTTGTAACGGATCACCGACTGGCATGGATCACGGATGGCGACGTTCGTCGCCCAGTACTCATGGGCGAGACGCCCATAGGGCCATGTGCACACCCATGGCCGAAGACGTTCGTCCGGTTTTAAGGGTAATGGGCCGACCCCTTATTTGGGCCATTTACCCAACAATATGAATATCTTCAGATTTTCAAAGATTTGTTCTTTTGATCTTCGAATCTTCAAAGCATTGTTCTTCAGATCTTCAAATCTTCAAGCTTCATTATTCAGATGTTTGAACGTTCCTCAACTTTTGGACTTATTTTATCAAGAATAATAGACTAAATCACAAAGGATTATTCATATATTCTTGAGAAAAATTGTGGCTTAATATCTTCTGATTATTCGGAATCCTTCAGAGCCTTTCGAGTGCTCTCTCAGAGCTTTTCTGCAGCGTTTCTTCGTCTGAAAATTCTCTCTATTCCTCTCAACTGAGACCCCTATTTATAGGTGTAGGGAGGATGAAATATGCATTAGAGTTGCATAAAATTCATCCATATGTCTAGGGCCTCAATTGAAATGGGCTCTGAGCTCTATTTGCTTGCATTTTAATAGTGAGAAAAAGCATCACTTATGCAATGTATCTGGACAACTTTCTTAACAAGGTTCATAGCTATTTCTCATGCATATAGACAATTTCGTAGCATGATTCATTATTCTCTTCATAAATTGGATCATGTCTCTTGCATGTTGGGCCACTATTTGATATTATTAGGCTTAAAATGAAGAAATTATTAGGGTCGATCCATTCTCTTAAAGACTTATTTATAATTAAATTAATTGGATATTTTATGTAATCCAAATTAATGTAATCAATAAATTGAATCAAAAGGGACCCATATTAACATTTCCT